CTTCCTTCCTTCCTTCCTTCCTCCTTCCTTCCTTCCTTCCTTCCTTCCTTCCTTCCTTCCTTCCTTCCACCATTTTAGTTTGTAGCCTAAGATCAGGGCTTATTCATTCCTGATTATTTGCAGGCCATTTCCAGCTGAAGGATGGAATAAAATAAACATTGGCTACTTGCCCCTGAAGATGTGGGCACCCTTGTTAGCTAGTGTGACTACTGGTCCCCAATGCTGGATGTGTCAAATTCTTTTTTACCAAGGCTTACAAGCACCTCTGCAATTCTGAGAAAGAAGCATCCTTTATTGATACTAGCGCTAGGGCTAAATTCAAAATCCTCCACCCAACTGTGGGCAGAAACTTTGGGTGGACAACTTCTCCCAAGTTCTCCAGGAGCAGGAGGACTCCTCCAAGATCTTTGCATGGTTGGGGTTTCCCCCTAATGATAAGAGTACTGTTGTTACTAAAGCAGCCCCAAAGGAACAACTTCTTCACCCCTTTGTTACGAGCTGAATGGAAATGTGGGAAACCAGAGACAGTGCAGATTGATCGAGCGAGGAAGGTACGATGGAAGACAGGATATTTAAAAGTGCCCTTTGCCAATTTGTAATTCAGTAAACACAAGAACATCACAAGCAAAGGAGGGGAACAAGTTATGAAAGCAGAGTTGCACCAATATGATGCAAGCACCCTCTCTTTGGTACGTGGTGTGATGTTGCACATCTTCATAAAAGTGGCCAAACTTGGGTCAATGACACATTGATTTTATCTTTTGATGACCACCCTGGATCCTGTAGATGCCTCTTATCATAGCTTACCCATGAACATTCACTCCCTTTTTCTTCTTGAAAAGAAATTTCAAACCATGCTCTTCCAAACCAAATGAGAATGCTTTAAAAAGCGTTGAAGAATTTCTTTCCTTGTTCATTTTATGCTGCTGGTTGACTAACATAAGAAGCAAAAAAAGACTGAGAAATCCACAACGTGAGTTTCTTGTGATGTGGACTTGGAGTGAAGAGAACAGCCTTTCTTTTGAAGAATTCCCATTCTCCCAGTTGCACACGAGTACTCTGAATGAGGCACATGGGAAATTGCCATCTGGATGCACCCTGATTATTATTTTTCTAAATAAAAAAATAAAAAAATAAATGAACTGGGCTTTCAGAGTGTTTATACATTGTGCAGACAAGGAGACAATCTGGTGCTGATAAGCCTTTTCTGAGAAACTCAAATAAAGCTTAATCTCTTAAACAAACACAGCAGTCAGAACAGATAAAAATTATGCATTAGTAAATATTACCATTTTGCTAGCTGGCAGTAGATTAGTCTGACTTGGCTAAAATCAACAGGCTCAAATACTTAAGGAACCAGCTCAGAAATGCCATCATCCTCTTCTCACAAAATGTTAATTATTTCATTTAGTTCAATCAATAGCTTGGCACTGTTATACTACTATTGCAGCTTAAACCAAAACCCTGCATTCCGAAAATCTCAAGATATCTGAGAGCTGAATTTCTCTGCAATATAACTTTTTCATGGATACATCCACATAGTTGGTCTATCAAAGTCGCCACCCCATACCCACTTCAATTAAGTCAATCAGGATTAGCAAGCTAGATTGGAGCTGGTTCACAACCAAAAAGCTGAGCCCTGAGCAGTAACTTCACAGAACTTCACAGAAATCAATATAAAACCAGCAATGTTATCAGAAGAAACACAAGCAGTATCTAGAATCCTGTCTCTAAGTGCTAATTTGGGTGCTAGCTTCTACAAACAGGTAGCATCAGAAAATTTAACTTGAATAAATGTGTTTTGCTTGTTTTATAAGTAAGACATCTTTTAAATCAACCTTAAAAAAGCAATTCCTGAACTTTCTCCTCTGTCCCTACCCTGCTTTGAATGAAAGTGAGAGGTCTTCAGCATAAATTCAACCACAAGTGGACAACCTATAATAATCCAGATCTAATTTCAAGTCCCTGCATCTCTTACCCATGGTCAAGCTGACTGCAGCTGCTGAGAACAGTAATTCAGCAACAATCATTGTGTGTGTGTGTATGCCAGAGGTTACCTATCCTTGAGTTAAACACATGAAAGGTCAACATCTCTTTTTCTGGGATGAATCTTGGTGGCAGAGCTAGGTAAACTCAGGTGAATAAAATATGGACAATTTCCATACAGCAACGGTGAACTAACTGTCTGAGCTTCCATGTTCTTTCCTTGGAAAAAATCATCAATTTAAAGGACTGTATTCAAAAGGAAGGGGGGACGCGGTGGCACAGCGGCTTAATGACACTGAAAGTTGCTGGCCAGAAATGGTCGACACTTCAGCGGTTCGAGCCCAGCCTTCGCGTTAACAGGGTGAGCTCCTGCTTCCTCCCCCAGTTCCTGTCAACCCAACAGTTCAAAAACTCACGTGAGTAGATAAAGGGGTACTCTCACTACGGTGGGAGGAAAAATGCTGGCGGCACCTTGCAAAAGGAGTCAGGAGCAGTTGCCGGTAGCGCGGAAGGCGCGCTCGCCCAAAAAAGGCGCGAAGCAACA